CGCTCCTAGGACGGCCTCACACCCTCACACCTGAGCATGCGTTGCAGACGCCAGAAGACGTGATGGTTGTTCCTCGCAGAGAGGGAGAGGGAGAGGGAGAGGGAGAGGGAGAGGGAGAGGGAGAGGGAGAGGGAGAGGGAGAGGGAGAGGGAGAGGGAGAGGGAGAGGGAGAGGGAGAGGGAGAGGGAGAGGGAGGGAGGGAAGGTGAGCGCCCACTGAACGTACTTGATAGGCGTTCAGCAACTCTTGCAGCGACATGTCCAGCTCTTTTCTCACTTTAGCGAGATCACTTGGATGGTTCAAGTCAAAAGATCGGAACCCGTTCAAGTCAACAACATCACCTTCTCATATTTTCTCTCTCTTCGCGGATGGCCGACATCTGACGATGATCCTCCTGAGGCTGAAATGAACAGCCGGAAGCAATATTGACATCTTACATCTTTCTGCATCTGCAAGAGCGAAATCTTGGCTGAGAGGCCTTCAATCTCCTCTTTGGCAGCCTGCAACGGCCGTCAAGGAGGAGGGGGTGCGGCTGTCATGCAGCCATCTGTACTACCTTGAGATCCTTTTCCATCCTCTTCTCTTCCTCTTGACGCGATTGGGCCTCCTGAATCATTGCCTTGACCATGCAAAAGAGTCTTTCGCTGTTGCTCCCGACTTGAGCGAACTCAGGGTCCAGGTTGGCTGATGCTTGCCTCGAGGAAACAAGCGTCACGTAGGCATCCTGAACTTCTCTCAGTAGGAGGGATGCTTCCGTCTCTGTCTTCCTCTTCATGTCCTTTTCAACTTGCGTCACTTTCTCTTGCTCTTGTCGGAGTTTCTGCGATGAGGTCGTGTTAGAGACAAGCAGGAGCAAGAGAGAAGTCACCGCTTCAGTGATGCTGATCTTTTCCTTCAGCTCATCTCTCTCAGTGAGCAGCATAATGATCCGCGAGTTGTCTTGCTTTCTCTCTGCCCGCAGCAGGCGAAGCTCCTGTTCTGTTGCATTCTCGACGAGTTTGTGACTAGACAAATCTCTGGAAAAGTCCAACTTCTCCTGCCTGATTGGTGCAGCAAACTCATCTCCATCGTCATCATGAGCCTTAGTCCAGACTTTCACAGCGTCTTTGTGCATGGGATTTTCGATTCCGTGAGGAAGAAATCGCTCAGATTGGGAACGGCTCTGCATCCCTTCTTCATCGCTCAATGGAGATTCAAGTCCATAAGGAGTGCAGTCAGGCGCGTACTCTGCAGAAGGACTCTGCTCGTCTCCTGCCAGCCACCAGTCGTGTCCTTGCTGCCACCCTGTCATGAGGTTGCTGTCGGTGTTCTCTCTATCGTTGTCGTCGGACCCTCCAAAGTTGAAGAAGGAGAATCCGAAGGAGGAGAAGGGAGATGGTCGTTCCTGATCCTGCCTCCCGGACTGCTGCTTCGAGCTCCGACCTGTGGGGATCTGTGGGATCCCCCTCTTCACGCAGATGGACACAGCATCAGGCATGCCGAGAATGTCATGTCGTAGAAACGTCAGAGTCACCGAGCTCCCCGCGGGCCCCGTGAGCAGATGCTTCACGGACTTGACAGTGTTGCCACAGACATTGCCGTCCACCTTCTTCAGAATGTCTCCGATCCTGACCTTGCCCGTCCTGTCTACTGGTCCATCTTCCAGGATTTCGGTGACTTCCAGTCCACTCTCAGTTGATGTCAGTCCAAGTCCAACTCCGACGAGGCTCATGGCTTGCTTGTCAGTTTGGCTGCCTGGCTGTCTGTTGCGGGATACTTGGGGTACTTGGCTCACGTGCCTGCAGCGCTGAACTTTCGGTCATGCGTCAAAAATGTCAACATCCTGGAAACAACGATGTCATTCTTCATAGCTCGAGGTAAGCGAGCGAGCATTGATGCTGGCACAGGAGGTAGAGGAGGAGGAGAATGATCAAGGGATGCAGATAGGAGAGGAGGATGGATGAGACTTCGCTGCTGCATGCGATCGTATGCCGCACCATGCGCCCCTTCGCAACGACGCCATAAAGTGGGATGCAAACTAGCGAGCTATCAGGGGTGGGGTAATATTCTGTGTCGGAGGTGGGGGTGGGGTGAATAATCCCGTCGGACCGTCGGACTCGGAGTCTGCCGCCCCGCGACTGAAGGCTTCGGAACACGTTTGACCGGAGTCCGGCTCACTGAGTCAGCACGGGCCCGCCGCGCCGGCCGTACTGTGCGCGCGCGGCGGGCGCGGGGGGATTGTCCCGCGCGCAGTTAAGTGAAGGTATCAGTTAAGTTAGGGTCAAGCCTCCTCGACTCTCCTGATTGTCCTCGTACTGCTTTTTAACTAACTTTGAGTAAAGAAGTGCGAGGACCGTGCCTCTCGGACCGGACTCCATGCGCGACGCCGCGCCGCCTGGCCCCTCCGATCCGATTGGCAGCGGAGGCGGCTGGAGCCGCCCGGGCCCGCCCGGGCAGTATGAAATAAAGTTTGATGTTTCCGTTGTGCAAAGACTCGGCCAGTGGCACAGGTGGCCGCTCAAGCTGCCGCCCTTGCCCATGCGGCTGCAACCTCTAGTGTTAGTGTACGATGGATGGGTGGCATGACACTAGTAGTACTGCTAGAAGTAGCAGGACACACCAACTCCTTGCATCACTGAGTCACATAGCTGATCGTTCCACATTCTCATGATGAAAACTCTGACCGTGACTTTTCTCGCAAGCCCTACGACCAAGATGCACTATTAATCACCCATGGGCGGTGCCAACACGAAAGAACAGGAAGCAGGAGGCAACAGTCTGATAGGTGTGCTTGCGCCTCCCACACTTCACTTGTCGTGAGCGTTCAACTAGGATGTTGCAGCAATATCTCCAAGTCGACTGTGCCCCCCATTCCTAACGTGAAGTAGTCAGACCTTTGAAGCACGATAGTGAGACGCCTTCAGGACATCAGCGTGAAGGCTGGAGTCGGCATTGTGCTTGGAGCAAGGAAGGATGGAGTCTTATGTGAACTGCTGATTGACTTCGCTTCTTACCCCTCACTTGCCTTGCAGTCATCGCAGGCATTTGTCGGGGGAGTCCCGCGGAGCGTTCGAAGCTGAGGGTCGGGGATATTTTGATCCGCATCAACAAGCGATATGTCTACAGGCAACCAAGCTTGAAGGCACGCCTGCTGCCCTCTCGGGGGGACAACGTGACATGCACGTAGGTGTCGGCGCTGCTCAAGGGAGAGGAGGGAACATCTCTGTCTATCGAAGTGCGACGGCCGAGAGCTCGCACGAGCGCGCTTGAGGGCTCAGAGGAGGATGAGGGGGGTCTGATCGTCGACCAACTGGTCCGCAGGTCTGAGCTACTGAGAGGCTGACAGGAGAGGAGAGGCTGACTGATCACCCAGCCAAATTAACAGCCAAGCTGCGAGACAAGCTATCGAAGAAGCCATGGACAAGGCAAGAAGGCAAGGAGGTGTCAAATTCTGACATTCATGTGTTTCAGGACAGGATCGGAAATGGTCGCTTATGTTCCTGAACTCAGAAGCATTCTTTCTGTGTCATGCAATATATTCAATTTCAAACCCGCTCCTAATTTTCCAATCTTCCTCCTTGTAGACTTCGGCGGCTGCAATTCTGTTCTTCTTCTTCAGTAGTACGGAAAGGAGGTGGGTGGAAGAATCAGAAGCAAGAGTGCAGTGTCTCCTGATCAAAGTCACACAAGAATTTTTGAGGGAAATGCTTCCCTAATTCATTAATACATTCCATGAAAGGCTTTTAAAACAATTGCGCGGCGCTCGGCAGTCTGACTTGATCTGATCCACTCCTTCACTGGCCCGTCGGGTTTACATCAGCGTCCTCTGGTTTCTTGCCAACATACCAGTACCATCCCGCCTGCCATGATTATCAGTCGCAGCTTGTCAGCGGTCAGGCAACAACCTTGAGTAGGGGAACGTAAGGAAAGGAGCCAAAGCCACAGTCTTCCTTCTCTGGCTCTGTAACGCTCTAGTAACAAAGGGGTTAGTTGCGTCGATGATTTTTTTTTGAAGGGGTTGGACCTTTAGATATTTCAGATGCTCGTCACTGAGGTGGACGTGATCCCTGGCGAAGATCCGTTTCCACATTTCCTTCATTGACAAGATCATGTCAGACTCCATGAACATTCAGGAGCATACAAACCTGTGTCACTGTCCACTGTCCTTTCTGCGGCAGGACGGTGAAGTCACAAACGCACAATCTACCCCCTGCCAGAGGAAGCCTGCTGGTCAGAGCTCGCACATCGAAGAAAACTGGCGACAGAAAACTCACCAGGACGGAGCAAGCGGAGTGCATTGGCGATTGCACCCTGACATCAATCAACTCTCAAGCACAAGACGTTATTCCTCACACCTTCCAATCAGGTATCATGACCAGAGAATAGCTGAAAGTCACAAGGTCACACGATCCAGCTGGTGGAAGACCCTCTGCTCATCAATCAGCGACTAAACTGTACCACCCTTGCAGCATCCTTCACCTTCGTTCTGGTTGCACGCATCCCCAAGGACAGCTTTGACGATTCCCGGCCATTTCTTTGCCCTTTCCTCAGCAATCTGCTCACACATTAAATTTGTTTTGACCATGTGACGATCGTTACGCTCAACAGATTTGCTAGAAATAGGGCAGAAAGAAAGGAAAGAAAGCAGGGACCTTGTGCAAAGAAGGACAGAGATCTAGGACAACGACGCTGGAGAACCAGCCTTCATCTAGCGCATTGGACATGTACTCGACAGAAGACCCAGTCCCGCCCCCAAGATCAACCCATACAATCTGTTAGACCAGGATTAAAAAAATATGGACATTCCAGGTATTCAGATCGCCACCTTTCCCTTACGATCTCTGTCGACCGAAAGGTTCTTCATCATCGGAGGCCTTGCATGGAGCATTCTGGAGCGATACCCATCGTAGAGCTTAGCCTGTCGGTTTGAACTCAGGGACAGCATAAGGAGGGGCCTTCTTCGCTACCTGAGGGGAGTAGAAAGATTCAAGAATGTCTTGGTGAGCCGACCCCGAAATCTTGCTGAACCACATAGACTTCAACACTTGCATGTCCTCGCTAAAGTTGTTCTGAACATTGAACTCTGAAAATGGTAGACAGACAAATTGAGATTTCTGCATCTTGCTGGGTGAAACACAATCATCGACGTGATTGCCTCCGCTGATCTGTACCAGTATGTCAAGAGACAGAAACCTCCTTGCGCTGTCACATGACTACCTCGGTTTCATCCATCTTCCTCTTCCTATCTCCGTCGGTCTGCTTCACAGATTCATCCTCCGTTGTATTCTCGACTGAGCTGCCATTCGACGTTTCTGTCAAAATGTCCCCACTTGGAGTATCCGATGCTGTCATGGTCTTTCTCGAATGTTTGAGAATTCAAAACTGTTATCGAAAGCGTTAGCGAGGCACGAATCCCAACGAAACATCTGCTATGGCCACACTTGGTCTGTGAATGTGACTAGAGTGCCACCGACCACCTTTCTTACTTCATAAATGGCCATGGCACCCTTCAATGGGACTCCTCATCTCAGCTTTGTCTCTGTGATGCCCTGCTATCCCCATCTCCGATATCCCCTGCTTTAGGTTTGCTCCTCACCATGATCCTCTCCTCTGCCTCCTCACCTCGAGTTTCTCCTTCTCGTGCTCTAGCATTCTCCTCATACTTACAGTTGCTCACTTCCCAATCTCCCCCCTCTCCTCCCTCCCCCCTCTCTCCTCCTTCATTCTCCTCCTCTCCCTTCGCCATCCCCTGCACGGGATGCCAGTCCGCGCTCCGACCGGCCCCCCCATTGTCTAAATCGATTCAAACCACCAAAGGGTTCAGTCTCGAGCGGCACCCGGGCTGATGGCCCGCCCAGATTTGTGTTGCATCCGTTATGTACGTTTTAAACCGTTAAGTATGTGTTGCAGGTTGCAACGTTGCAAGGCTCCTACAGCAGTTCCTAGGACCCCAACATGTAGTTTGCCTACATTGTTGCCATGACAACAAACCTCTGTAGCCCTCCTAAGACACAATCCTATACATGGTTCCTAGGACCTACACTCACTATAGCAACCGGATAAGTTTCTGTAGTCAATGTTCCTCGGTCAACCACCCACATAAAACATCTCAATATTAGGGGTAGTGTTTATATGAGGTGCTCTCATATTGACTATAACACAAGTGTGTGGTATTGGTGGGGCGATGGCGGCGGCAGCGGAGGGGGCAGGGAGGACTGAAACATGCAGCCTGAAGATTTCGCATCTGATTCATGCCATGAACGTTGTTATATACCATCCAACATCTTCTTCTGATTTTTCTGCACCATCTGCTCATTGTCATTCCTAAATCCTTTACCGTTGCCCTCTCCCCTCGCAGCAACACCTTTATAGCTTCCACCTGTGCTGCCATTCAACCACCGCTCTGACCTGTTGTTGAAACTATTTCACATATCGTTCGGTTGTTTGCCTCTCCCTTATGCATATCTTGGCTCGCCTGCAGATTGAGTGATGTCTCTACTTTGTCGAACACTTCCTTGGAGTTCTTTCTTGTTCTGAGGAATTGCACGATTTTGAGCCCAGCAACTGTGCAAGCTGAACGTATCTAATGCATGTCGAACACAAGTATAACATACACATACTTGACATGTTTCTGAATGAGCTCTCTGTTTCCTCCGCCTTACCATTCTCTTCTGTTCTTCAGTATTGGTGTGTTGCACAAAATGTCTGCAAAGTAGATGGATTTGTTTATGTCCACGATGTAGTTTGTGCTGATGAATTAATGTGAACTTTGCGCTCTCCTGACACGTTTCAGCGTTGCGATTGTGTTCGATTTCTGTTAATTTGCACATGCATGCATTCTTCAACAACTATGAATAACGTTTGGAAACAGCAAATATTGATATTTTCATTTCGTGGCAACATCGGACTGATTTCCTGATCGAACTTCAGCAGGTGGAAGAGCATCTGAGACTGGCTGCTGTTTGGTTCCTTGTGTGAGCAGTCTCAAAACATCTCTCAAATGCACATTTGAAAAGCTCGTGGCTTGATTGAGGTGACATCGCTTGATTTGCTTGTTCAAGACATTCACTCTCATGTGTTCAGCGAAACGCCGAAATTGAATGAAAGAGAATTTTTTTTGAGATATGCTTGGCACCACTCTGAACCGAAAGAAGCATCGTAGAGTATCGTATGTAATTCGGGCGTCAGATGAAGGAAGGTACTTAATGACAAATGCTGTCTGCTCCCTCTCTGCAGCCTTGTATTGATTGCATGCTGCGTTGAACCTGGAATGATTTCGTTTCGTGGGAAGGTCGTTGATTACTTTTATTTTTCCAGACATCGGTCAGGAATAAATTCCATTGCACTTTCTCGGCGCGGAGATCTGTTATTCTCGGCGGGCAGGTACCCATCTTCAAGAAGGCTGTGCATGATCTTACCGTTTCTGCTCAAGGGATGCGACGACTAGGTGTTGGAACACAGCGAATCCGAAAGCTGTTTGCGAACGAACATATGACGGGCACACAGACTGGGTCAACGATGTGGTGGTTATGTCGGATGAAGCGACGCTAGTGACAGCAAGGTTGTTTCTTCATGAAAATCGGTTCCTGTTGTGACTTGCTTGCCAGCTCCGACACTACAATCAAATTTTGGAACATTGCAAATGAAACATGTACTGCGACTTTGAAAGAGCACTGTGATTATGTAAAGGCCTTGGCGTATGCAAGAAATGCACAATTTTTGGCGTCAGCGGGATTGGATCGAGATGTTTATATTTGGGATACTGTTGCACTCCAGAAGCCTGTTGCACAAATGCCAGGTATGTTACCTTGAATGCTATGATGTTATTTGTTTGAACGTTCACCACACGTTTTCTATTCACTCATGGATGTCGTTGGTCATGTTCTAAACTTGTTGAGATTCCTGGGACTGGTTGTTTGAGTTATTCCTGTTCGCAGATTCACAATTCAGGAGGTGTGAAGGGCATAAGGACTCTGTGTATTGTATCGCAACAAACAATGATGGAAAGCTGGTGGTGTCCGGCTCCACTGAGCGAGTGTCGACACATGCGATTGGTCTTATTCGTTTATGGGATCCGAGAACAGGAGAGCGAACGGGTCGCCTAAAAGGACACACTGACAACATCCGTTGCATCCTGCTGAGTGAGGACGGTACAAAGTGCATCTCGGGTGAGAGAAGGATGCATGATTTTACAGCCCTGACTGACGTTCGTACAGGGAGTAGCGACGCAACAATAAAGATATGGGACATCGGGCAACAACGATGCATCCAGTCAATCGCCATTCACACAGATTCCGTCTGGTCGATTGCGCTGGATCCTCAAAACCTGAATCTGTATTCTGGTGGGAAGGATTGTAATATATTCTGCACGGATCTTCGAACTTTGGACAGCACCTTGCTGCATAAAGCAGCAGATCCAGTCACCAAGTTGCTGTTGAGTCCAGCTCGCTCCCTGTGGGTGTCAACTGTGAGTGCAGACTTGCAATTTTTGGATGTCGAGCCACTCCTGGTGCGCGAGCGAGCGAGCCGGAGCACGCGGTCCAAGCCCTCTGTTCATTCCATCACTATCGTCGGCCCACGTCGCTCGATCGGATCATCAAGTGTGGGCCAAGAAGCTCCAGGTAAGAGTTTCTGTGGGATGTTGCGAGACATGAACCTCTTGCTCAGATGAGAATCTGGTTCCTCTGCTGGCGAACCCTACACATGTCATCAAGGGCCTCCCTGCGATCGTCAAGCACGACTTCTTGGAGAACCGTCGATGCGTCTTGACAGAGGATACAGCAGGGGATGTTGCCCTATGGGATGTGACCAAGGCCCAGAAGATACAGGAATATGGGAAAGTCGACTTCCGAGAGACTCGGAAATCGCTCGAGAAGGAATTGCTTGTGCCTGCCTGGTGCACTGTAGATTGCAAACTCGGGTCGTTGACTGTCAATCTGGATTTTCCTCAAGTATTTTCTGCGGAACTCTATGCCAACGATGCCGGATTTCCGCACACTCCGGAGTTAGAAGAAACTAAGATGAACGTCGGGTTCCGAATTTTACGTTCGCTCCTCAAGCGCTGGTTGCAGGGTCGCAGGGTCAGACCTCAAGGTGAGCATGCGACTGCAAGCTTGACGGCCCTGAGTTGCCCTGAGCAGACAGGTCGCCGATGAGGCAGCAGGATGGGGATGAAGGGGCTTCCCACACGGAGATCGATGAGAGTCTGGACTACACCATCTCGGACAAGATCAAAGTCATCATCAGCGAGGACTCAGGCACGAAGCCGCTGATCTGCCGGAGAGTTTTCGAGTGGGACGGCAGCGAGCCGGTTGACATCCTGCCCGAGTGGCTGGTGCAGAGCCTGGAGCGAGATGCACCGCACAACGACAAGGGGGAGCGAGTTGGGTGAGCCTCCTTGTTCGCTACATCTTCTCTTACCCTTATCTCGACATCTTCTCTTACCCTTATCTCGACATCTTCCCTTACCCTTATCTCTACATCTTCTCTTACCCTCTCTTACCCTTATCTCGACATCGTCTCTTACCCTTATCTCGACATCTTCTCTTACCCTTATCTCGACATCTTCTCTTACCCTTATCTCGACATCTTCTCTTACCCTTATCTCGACATCTTCTCTTACCCTTATCTCGACATCTTCTCTTACCCTTATCTCGACATCTTCTCTTACCCTTATCTCGACATCTTCTCTTACCCTTATCTCGACATCTTCTCTTACCCTTATCTCGACATCTTCTCTTACCCTTATCTCGACATCTTCTCTTACCCTTTCGCAGAGAGTCTCCCAAGGTTGGATTCTACCTCACCGCGCACCCCGACTGCGACATCCGGCAGATGCAGCAGGGAAAGTTGAATGCCCCGCAGATCCTGAGGGCGAGGAAGGTCCTCCACTACGCCATGACGAAGCTGCAACTCGACACTCAGATCCCCGCGAAGCTCAAGAGGTGAGGAGAAACCTGCTCCTTGCTTGCTCCTTGCTCGTTCCTTTGCTCGCTCCTGGTTCCCCTTGCTCGCTCCTGGTTCCCCTTGCCCGCTCCTGGTTCGCTCCTTGCTCGCTTCTCGTTCGCTCCTTGCTCGCTGCTCATCTTCGCTGGCAGGCCGGACGTGCGTGAGCCCTTCGACTATCTGGAGCTCGTCTGCAACGAGCGCATCGTGCCGCTGGACATGAACCTGATGACGATCCGCAAGTACGTGGCGAAGAACCCGGACGAGCTGGTCCTGCAGTACCGATGGAAGGAGAGCATGGCCAAGAGCGACAGCGCGGTCAAGGGCTTTGCATGATGCAAGGGACACGATTAAAATCAAACATGAACGATCACTTGCTGAGCGATTCTCCTTCTCCTGCTCCTGCCTGCTACTCTCCTCCTCCCCAATCCTTCTTGCTCCCTACGAAACTGCCTCGCTGCCCTCCTCCTTCCTCCATCTTTCTTCTTCCATCTCCCTTCCTCCATCATCTCTCCTCTCCCTCCCTACCTGCGACCCCCCGCCCTCCCCCCGCCCTCCCCCCTGCCACCATTGCGCCACCCTTGACAAAAAATCCTAATAAGATGCGGGTCGGGGAGACAAAAATGACGAGGTGCAGGCATGGAGGAGGAGAGGGGAAGGAGGGGGGAAGGGGAGGGGAAGGAGGGGGGAAGGAGAGGGGAAGGAGAGGGGAAGGAGAGGGGAAGGGAGAGGGGAAGTGGAGGAGGACAGAGCGGAAAGAGCTGGAGTAACTTGACCGCATCATCCGATCCTCCATCATCTTGCTGACTGAGTTCTTAGAATGTGACCTGAGGAATCAAAGTCTGCCTCTCCATGCCGTCTGTTCCCTCAGCCGCCGCCATGGCCTCCTGGTCAGCTGCGCTCCTCCTCGCTGCTCTGTACTACTGGCTCGCCCTCTCTGCCTCGGTTCACAACGCTGCCACATTCGACGAGGTGAGAGGAGGAAGAGTGGGAAGGAGGAGGAGGAGGGGAGGGGTAGAGAGGAGCAGCTGCGAGGCTGACATGCATGGCAGATCGCGCACATTGCCGGTGGGATGAGCATGGTGACATACCGAGACTTCCGTCTCAACCCCGAGAACGGCGCCCTGCCACAGATGGTGGCTGGGGTAGCCATGGCGGCAGGAGGTGTGCGCATGGCTGAAGTGTCGGACCCGAGTGTGTACACGGGGCAAGCATGGCTGCACAGCGACGGGTGGGAGATCGGGTACCAGACCCTCTACCATGCAGGCAACGAGCCCTCTCGCGTCCTCCTCTACGGACGTGCAGGCGTCGCTCTGTTCTCGTTCGGTACGGTCTTGCTCGCGCACGCGGCAGCCTGGCAGGTGTACGAGGGAGACGCTGCTTGTGCTCTCCTCTCAACCCTCCTGACTGCTTTCTGCCCGACCCTCCTGGCGCATGGAGCCCTCGTGACCTCTGACGGAGCCTTCACCTTCACCGCCCTCCTCGCCTCCCTCAGCGTCTCCCGCATGCTCGACTGCATCGCTCCTGGTGCCGCCGACAAGCAAGCAGGAGAGGCCTCGGCGTGGCGATCGCTCGCATGGGCTCTCGTCGCAGGATGCAGCGTGGGGTCTGTCATTGTCGCGAAGCACAGCGGGGTGATCATGGCTCCCATCGCCCTTCTCCTCCTCCTTCTCAAGCTCCCGGCCTTGTGCAGCAGAAAGATCCTCAGTCGCCTCCTCCTCCTCCTCCTCGCTGTAGCCGTCGCAGTCGCCTGCTCCTTTCTTGCTGTCTGGGGCTGCTATGGCTTCCGCTTTTCCGCCTTCAATCACCTCGAGTGTCGGCAGTGGAAGAGCAACTGGGACGCAGGTCTCGGCAGTCAGCACGGCAAGCTGGAAGGAATTCCGCAACTGCTGGTCCAGCTCGCGAAGAAGCACAAGCTCCTTCCTGAAGCTCTGCTATACGGCATGAGCTACGCGTTCCTCAGGCAAGCGTCGCTCGTCTCCTGCTCCTGCTCCTGCTCCTGCTCCTGCTCTTTCTCGCTCTCGCCCTCGTACATCTCTACTCACAATTTGTTGCAGCACCAACGCTCGAGCTTGCTTCCTCGCAGGGGAGCATGGCACAGCGGGCTGGCGCTTCTTCTTTCCGTACGCCATGCTCGTCAAGACTCCCAGTGGAGTCTTCCTCCTCCTCTCCCTCGCCGTCTGCATGCTCATCCTGTCGTCGCCAGGAGGAGACCTCCGTCGGTTCCTGCGGCGCATGACCCCACTTCTCGTTCTGATCTTCATCTACTCCCTCGTCGCCGTCAACCAGAACCTCAACATCGGGCACAGGCACATGCTCCCTGTGTACCCTCCCCTCTACATCCTTTGCGGCCTCTGCGGTAAGTTGCTTCGAGGATGGGACTCCGCCTCGGCTCCTCGCTCGCTCCTCCTCCTCCTCCTCCTCTCCATCGTAGCTGCGACCATGGCGGTATCAGCAGAGGTCCTAAGCTCCTTCCCCTACTTCATCCCCTTCTTCAACCGCCTCGCTGGAGGTCCCCAGCTGGGGTTCGGCCACCTCGTCGACAGCTCCCTTGACTGGGGGCAGGTAGAGCTCTAGAGCACGTGACTACTCCAGCTCACCCCCTGCTCCTCCAGGGTCTCCCAGCTCTCAAGACTTTCATGACGGAGGAGACGGAAAGGATCCGCTCGAACGCAACAAGCGAACAAAGACCAGTCTTCTACGTCTCCTACTTCGGTCTTGGTATGCACCTTTCCCTCCCGCCTCTGCTCACTCCTCCTGCTCCTATTCGCTCTGCAGTTTCACCTCTCCACCTCCTCCTGTATCTCTTCTCCTACTCTTCTCTCTTCCTCCTCGCTCTCCTTCGATTTGTCTCCTCCATCTCCCTTTCCACCTCCTCCCTCTGCTCCTGCCCTCGTCAATCGCAGCATTTCTCACAAAGTCTTAGGAAACCCCCCGAGCCATGGCATCAGCAGCAACTCAAACTTCTCTGTCTATCACTTGCATAGGTTTGCAGTCGTTTCCTCCCCCTCTCCCTCCTCATCCTCCCTCGCAGTTCGGTCTCGGGGGTGTCACGGCCAAGGCACATACAGGCATCGTCCTCGCTCTTCTATCTTTACTCCCTGACTTCTCCTCCTCCCCCCTCCTCACCCTTCCACCACCTGCTGTCTGCCACCTCGCCCTCCCGCGGTCCTGTCTGCGTGACCCTCCTCCTCCTCCTCCTCCCCCTCTTCCTCCTCCTCCTCCTCCCTCTCGCAGGAGGTCAATGTCCTTCTCTTCCCCGGCTACTTCTGCATTGGCGCCAGCATGCTCCAGCCCGTCTACAACAGTCACGCGCCTGGCAACTGGAACGCGCACTACGAGCTCGTCTACAGGTCCAACCATGCCGCTGTCGGCGCCACCCAACATGTCGCAGGAGGCAGGCGAGGTTTCTCATCCGGCTGCTCACCGTCTCGGAGCATCTTCGGACGCAGCTCGTGACGGGGCAGGCAAGCACGAGGAAGTCTAGTCCGAGGTGACGGCAGGAGCAGGTTCAGGTCCTCCACGACATGCCTAAGATGCTCTCCTGGATCGACGGATTTCGTCATCTCCTGCTCCTGCTCCTGCAGCTCCTGACCTGCTTCCAGGGCTCGCTAGGTTGTGCTCCTTCTTCCGAGAGATGAAGCCGCATGCCCAGGTAGCTCCTGATTTTTTCCCCCTCCCCCTCTTACCCTGCTAGCCATCCTATGCCTTCAACGTGTACAAGATCGACGCCAAGACTCTCACCCGATTCCTCTTCGGACCTGCACCTCCTCAAACCGTGGACAACGACATGACATTCCTGCGCCTCCGCCTCGCCTGACGAGATTTAACGGCTGCAAGCGCATCGAGTGTTTAATCTCAGAGACTGAAAGCCGAAGAGACAAGAGAGGAAAACTCGTTCTTGACTGCCCTCCTCAACTAGCCCTCCCGATCTCCACACCCTCATTCACCACCCGACATGTCAATCAAGCTGATCACAGTCTCAGCTTGTCTGTTAAGGTTCGTGTTAGCGACAGGCGGATGAAGTCAGAGGCTGTCTGCTTCTAATCGTCAAGAGCCTAAACACAAAAAACGTCATTGCTGAGACGTTGGCCATGGTTGGGAAACAAGATTGCAAATCAACATCTTTCAATTGCCTGTGGTGGTCCAACTGACTCAGGCACGATCGCATGCCGAGCTACGTCGCTGCAAAGATATTTCAGTATCACAGCATGTCCACAGCAGTCACAGGTGAAACCAATCAGTGAGAAACCAACAAGCAGAGATCTCCAACACAGCACCAAAGTGACTTTGCAAGCGAGAAACACGAGAATTGATGATTGTCTTACGTGACTGTTTTCAAAACTTCCGCTGTCATATGTCCTCCCTCTGTCGATTTGCCAATAGCATAATGTGAGTGCAAAGCGGTGCCATTGAAAGCAAATGATAAGCACAAGAGGAGAGGTAATACTGTTCCGTCTCACAATAGCGCGTGAATGAAGCTGAATGAAAAAAATAACAACAGGTCAAGTGCTTGAAGCGAAAGAGAGAGAAAATCAAGAAAAAGAAGCAATGCAAGTGAATCAAAAGAAATTGTATTCTAAAGAAACCTGCCACTTCTTTCGGGTTTTGCGACTAAGCGGTCGCAAACATCCAGATTTATTTCTTGATCAAGCAATCGATTCATTGCTCTTCGATGGGTTCCCCGCTTTCACATTTTACAATATTCAAAGAATCCTAACTACCTGTAAAGCAAAAAAAAAATATTCAGCGGCTTGCAGCAAAAGATTGCAACGTTCACAACAAGGAAACAAGGAAAGAAAGGAGATCGAAAGGTGGATGAATTCAAACAAACAGGATCTGTCACTGTTCGACCTGGTGGTGCCTCGACTGTCTCAAGCTGTTCGATCGGTAAATTGACTTTCTCAGCGATCAAATACTTCGCCCAGTAGATCTGCTGTGAGGTTCCCTGGACCTGGACTGGTCTGGGTTCCGCCCTTCCAGCCCAAGCGGCATCGGGAGTGATTTGCATCTTGACTCCAGATCGCTGTTGAATCTCCTTGATAGTACATCCACCTTTTCCGATCACCAGCCCAACCTTGTCGTTGGGGACCTTGATGATGAAAGTCTGGAAAGCGCCCACAGGTGGGTCGGCTGTCGGGGCCCCTGGGAAGGAGGGTGAGAAACAAGCAGGAACAACAAGTCAAGATTCAACCATAAGGAGGAGGCATCCCGTATTGGGCAAGCCCCATATCTGCTGGAGGTGGTAGGCCAGGCTTGACCTGTTGCGTCTGAAGGATGTTTTCAATCGGAATGTTGATCTTCTCGGCGATCAGCTGCTCCACCCAATAAATCTGCTGCTCAGTTCCTTGCAGCTGTATCGGTCTTGGATCTGACTTGCCAGCCCAGGCTGCATCAGGCGTGATTTGCATCTTACAACCAGTGCGCTGTTGCAGCTCCTTGATGGTACAACCGCCCTTTCCGATCACCAGGCCAACTTTGTCGTTAGGCACCTCCACCACAACCGTTTGAGTCACCCCTGCTCCCCCGTATTGCTCTACAGCAACAATTTAGTATGAAGACAAGAAAAGATGCCAATGTTTACCATAACCAGGATATGCACCGTAACCTTGATAATATTGCGCGTAATTGTATTGTTGCCAATAATACCTTCGTTCGATAAAAATGTCAAATTTATTTCGTCAGAGAAAGACTTGACTCACGCATAGTTCGGATCATAGTATGCCTGTGCAGTGACGGGTAGGAGAGAAACACAAACGTCAGCTTGTAAACATCAACATGAATCCAACAGCGGGTTACCTGCTGATTGGAATCTGCCTGCTAGAATCTTTTTCAGATACGAAGGAGGAAGAATGTCGTGTGTTTACCTGGCCAGCAGCTTGTGCATTATCATATGAAGGAGGCTGTTCAGAAGGAGGAGCGTATGGAGGGGCTCCAGCAGGTGGAGGATACGCTGGAGGGGCTTGGCCAGGAGGGGGATAGGCTGGAGGAGGGAGCGCAGCAGCAGTCGCCGTGGCGTCGTGGGTTGGCTGTGCATCGCCAGGCGCAGAGCTCGCTGCACAAGAGGCAGGATCGTCAGGGTGTCAAGTATGAAACGACGGTGAAGTTGAAGTACCTGGAGGCGGATAGGAAGGTGGTCCGACATGGGCCTGTAAACAACGTCAGTCAACAATTCCTCCTCCCACCTGGACCCCACCTGCGCTTCATTGGCAGCAGGCGCTTGTGAATCGTCTGCCTTTGATCTCTTGCTGGCGTCTTCATCATCATCTTCCTCCCTTGTCCTCTTTCCAGAAGCATCATCGCCTTTCTCAGCCGACTCTTGGTTGCTGGGGCATCTTTGGCAGGAGCAGCCACTTCCGCTGGAGGCTTCACATCCGCTTGCGACTCATCTGCAGGCTGACTTGGCTGCTTGCTATCAGCATCTATGCCATTCACATCCTTGGCATCGCTCGCACTTGACTCCTTCGCCTCAGAATTGCTTTCCACTACCGACGGCTCCTTCGTTCCAGCCTCCGAGTCAGGTCCTGCAAGCCAGCATCAGCTTTCTAGCGGTGCATCGCACGCTGCTCAACCTTGCTCGTTCTTCAAGGCCTCTGAAAGCCTCGCAACGAGGTCCGCTTTCAAGCCTTTCGAATCAAGGCCCCTCGACTCAAGCTCCTTCTTGAGTTCTACAACCTGGCACCGGGAGTCAGGACCGATTTATCCAATCAGAGAAGCTCAGAGTCACAGCAGACAACACCATGATGATCTACTTGCCAATGATTGGTTGGCAGCATAGAGGATCAAGCAGGGAGATCTCCTACACAACACTATTTCGTTCATGTAAAAGTGGATCCAGTACGGTAAGTGAACCGAGAAAGTCGCAATACCTTCAACATAAAAAAACAATCCCACTCTATCACAACATCAAATGAGAACATCTCAATGCACAATACACATGTCTCCTGGCAAACAAACAGTAGAAATAGTTTCCAACACGTGACAGAGAAATATCCATCGCACTGGCGAAGGCAACGAAATTCTGATTTATGACACAGAAGGAAGGAAGAACTTTGAAGGCAGAACAGCATGTTTAAGCACAATCTCAACATTCATGTGCATTATGCCCTGCCATCTCCATAGCCCACTTGCCTTCAACGACGCCACTTTCGACAAATCCATGGCGCCACCGCGGTTTTTTCCTCGCCCTTCAGCCCAGTTTTTCGAAAGGGGTTAATCCGTGAAAGTTCTAAATTAGTGATTAGACCCACCCATTAACCATTTTCTTAGTAGCAAATATGTTTATACCAATAATACAGTACAAATATTTAGGATTATTTTTGTTGAGTTAATATTGTGAGAAGCATATTGACCCTTGATGGTATTTGAGGTTTTAGTCAAAAGTTTTCTCCAGTGGGCCCACGCACGTTCAGGACCCTTGCTACCCCACCTACCAAGCAATGACCCCTACCCGAGTTTGTTTCTAGCACCCCTCCTACTACTACAGTACCCGTACATCTCGCCTACTACCCCCAAAATTTCGCCACCCCATAAAACTTTTGTCATTGTCATGCGACTACCCACCCTCCGTTCAATCACCCTGGCTTTCAATGGACCCACCCAGACCTCTGACCACCCCTCTTCATGTGTCAGACTGCGGCAGTGAACTCACCGGGGTACGCTAGCCTACCACCGTCCCGAGTCCGCCGATCCGCCGCCCGGCCGGGCCCGGCCAGACGGTCACCGGGTCCGGCGCGGCCCGGGCCCGGCGCCTGAGAGCCGACGAGGACAATCACAGTGAGGCCTCCCTGTCCTTTGCTGCCAGCGCGGCGCGGCCCGGAGGAATGGTCCTGCGCACAGTTTTAAGTGAAGGTTGAAAAAATGGACACTCACTACTGGCAGGCGGGCACGCCATACTGCGAGAAGGTAAAAGACAGTGAAAACCAACCCTATACGGCCAACTACTGTCCCCCAAACTTTTCACTTGAGCAAGTTACTTTGCCCATCAACCTGAGAGAACTCAGGACTGATTTTAACTTAAAACTTTGAGTAAAGAGAGAACTGCTGTGACTTCGTTTGTCAAAATGAACTCAACGGCTGTCAATCCTTTCACTCACAGATTGACTGAGTCGATCGTGTATGATGATGAGTGTCACGAGGAGGCTGCGAGGAGGCTGCTCGGAGACTACAGCAAGGAGGGTCCCCCGGTTACCGTAGTACTACCACGAGGACCGTAGCGACCGGTTCCGAGTCGTCAGACTCGGATGCTCGTCTCATCCCGCAGGCTCAGCTGTTCCATCCTCCTCCCCCTTCTCCTCATCCTCCTCGCTTGTCCCTGGCCGGTGGAGCCTTCCAGGAGCTGTCTGATCACCCTGCTCGACCCCTTGCCCTCTGGCCAGACTGCCTACACAATCGGGGAGGACATGAACTTAACTATGCCGGCGATTCAGCTGCAGGCGGTTGGAGTGCAGGAGGAGGAGGAGATTGAGATCGCATTCAACGTCTCTGTTGGTGCTAACGCTAGCACATCCATCAACTTGTTCTTGCCTACGGTGCAGCAAGGGATCCTTCCGATCCGGCAACACATCGACCAGGTGCGTTCCCTTGGCTCGAGGGGGAAAGTCGGCGTGCTGTGAGATGCGGTTGGCAGGTTCAAGTAGCGGACGAGGTCATGCTCAACTTCGAGCCTCTCTTCTGGTTCGAACAGAGTCAGCCCCTGCCCCCTCGGTTCTCAGGTGGCTCAGACAACGGGCAAGCAGCAGTCCGCATCGTCGGGACTCTCAAAGCTCTGAGCGATATGGTAGGAGCCAACAAGATGCTTCTCCTGCTTTCGGTTCACACTGATCTCGTTCTTCCTCAGCTTCTGCAGCAGCAGTGGTCCTTCCGGTCCTCCACTCCTAACGAGCTCCTTGTCCACGTGTCTGTCGCCAGCGGTCTCTGCGAGCAGAGCATCCCCGTCTCGAGCAGGGTCGCGCTAACGGACAACCCGCCCACGATCTCTCACTTCATCAAGGACGAGCGATCGACTTACGACACGGACAAGTTTCAGTGGCAGGTGACTTGCCCGCCTTGTTCAGCACGGGCTGACTTACCCTCAGGGCTCGTTCTCGCACCTGTACAACGGAGAGGAGGTTTCACTGCCCTTCGAGTGGGTCCCTCCCCCCTGCGACTCAGTGCAGTCGGAGATGGCCTGGACCCCCTGTGCTCTGTTTGTGAGGCCCGATGCTCCCGCGGTGTACTCGGACGCGTCTGCAGCTGTTGGAGGAAAAATTACCAAGAGCTTCAGGTTTCAGGTGGAGACGTCGAGATGCTCGGAGCAGCAGCAGACACTCAAGGTCACTGTCAGCGTTCAGAACGCAAACGCAAGCAGGATGAACTTCCCTGCGGTAGGAGACCTTGTTTGTGCTCCTGACTCGCTCGTTATTCTTCTTCGACTTGCTGTCCTGATCATCTTATGCTCATTCGACCCTATTGTCCCACACAATCACTCCCTCTGATTCACTTGTCACCACCACCTCCTCCTCTCCTCTCTCCTCTTTCTCCTTCTCGATTTTAGTCCTCCAGCCTGTTCTCTTCCCTTCACTGCTCCTTCACATCTTGTCTCGCAGCGCTCTCTCACTCTCCACCAGGCCCGAGGAGAAGCTTTCTTCCCGGACTGGTTTGAATGTCGCTACGCTCCCGCGCAGTGTCAGGCCTTGAACCCAACGGTCCGGGTTGGGGCCGTCCAGTCTCTTACCTTCTGGCCAGACTACAGTCACAACAAGGAGGAGGCGGACGTGGAGAGCTATAGGATTCTCTTCACTGGGAGCTGGGAGGATGTCAACGTAGCCCTGTCAAATGTGATGCCTCCATCTTCCCTCCTTCTCGTCCTCGTCCTCGTCCTCCTCTCCTCTTCTCCTCCTCTCCTCCTCTCCTCCTCTCCTCCTCTTCCTCCCTTCGTCACTCCTCCTCTCCTCCTCTCCTCCTCTCCTCCTCTCCTCCTCTTCCTCCCTTCGTCACTCCTCCTCTCCTCCTCTCCTCCTTCTCCTACTCTTCCTCCCTTCGTCATGACTATTTTTGCTAGGTGACCCTCCAAGCTCCTCCCCACCTGCTGGGCAGCAACATCCTCCGCATCACGGTCGAGGAGTATCCTCTAGCGCACGAGTTCGTGAGGTCCGAGGATGAGATGTGGAGGTTCGACAGCATGTACCAGAGCGGCTCCTGGTCGCTGCAGGAGGCCAAGGATCGGTGCCATAGGGACCCCAACTGTTTCGGCTTCCAGCAGCTCGAGCCCAGCGCCCTTTCGGTCGCCATGCTGCAGAAGACCGTTCCTCTCATAGGACGGCAGCCCGTCGTTCTCCCCTTCCCAACCATCTTTCTCTTCTCCGCTCCCCCCGTCATCGACCCTGTCCGTCCCTACGTGACCAACTCGGTAGCATACAGGAAGCAGCCCACGAGCTCGCTCTGCTACGTCAGCGGAGCGCCTCCTGCTGCCCAGCAGATGGTCGACCTGCGTCTTGTCAGGAGGATCGATGCGAGGCCCTTCCTCTACGTCCCCCTCCCGCAGCGGCAGGTCCAGGTCGGCTCCTCCTTCCTCCTTACTGGCGTTGAGTTCTTCGACGACGATTTCCTTGCCTTCAACCAAACTCAAGAAACCAACGCCTCCCGTTCCAGCCACGTCACGGTCTCTCCTGACTACCTCCTACCCTCCTCCTTCTTTCCTCCTGCCTCCTGCCTCCTGCCTCCTGCCTCCTGCCTCCTGCCTCCTGCCTCCTCCTTCTGCCCGCTGCTTCCTCCCGTCCAGTTCATCTCATGTGAGCACAGGTCACCTACAATATCACTCGAGGTTCTTTCACCCTCCTCGACCGACCAGACGCTCTCGTGCTGCCGCTGGGAGATGGCAAGCAGGACAATCCTCTCGTCCTCCACGGCCCTTCCATGCTCGTCCAGCAGGCAATGCGAGCCGTCCAGGTCAACATCGCAAGCTCGACGCCTTGCGGAGCCTCCTCCTGCTCAGAGCATGACGGCATCGCTGTCACGGTCGATGACCTCGGGTACACGGGGGAGCTCGGGGCCAGGACGTACGTGCAGAAAGTGTCGCTCGACCTGCGAGTTGGGCCGTTCAACTCTGCTCCTCGCCTGCTCTACCCAGGCCCCAAGTGGATGGAGCTGGTCGCTGGTGAGAGGAGAGGAGATGAGAGGAGGAAGAGGAACGAGGTGGGGAGGGAAGTTGAGTTCTGCAAGAGAACGAAAGGAGGAAGAGAGCAGAGAATGGGAGGAGGAGGAGAGGAGATGGCGAAGAGGAGGAGAGGAGTTGCCAGTAAGTGAAAGGTTGGCAGGAGGAGGAGGAAGATACCTCTCCGGCATCTCCATTGAGGATATTGATGTCAACTGGCCAAGATGGGACAAGTTGACCAACGAAGGGACGATTCAAGTGAACATCTCCTTGTTACAAGACAGGTCCAACATCCTCCTTCTCCTTCTCCTTCTCCTTCTCCTCCTCTCGTTTTCTTCTCTTCTCTTGTACTTCCTTCACCCTCGAAAGTCGCAACCCTGATGAGAAGTCGCAGCAATGACGATCAAATCACCTTCAGCATCGTCAACCTCCCTCCCTCCCTCCCCTTCCTGGGCTCTCCCAGCAACAGCACCTACGTCTCGCTCCTCGGCCTCTTCTCGCAAGTCTCCTCCGCCCTCTCCTCCCTCTGGCTTCAGCCGCCAGCCGCCAGCAGGGGAACGAGGACGGCGAAACTTCTCGTCACCGTCTCTGACCTTGGCAACACGGGATACTCCGACGACAGCGGCAGCTCACCTGCGGGAACAGACTCGATCGCCTTCGACCTCTTCCTCCTCACCAACGCCTCCTCCTCCCCTTCCTCCCTTCAGACCCCCAGCAAGGATGTGTTCGTGTCCTCCTCCTCAGGGGCGGATCACCTTGGCTGCGGCAGTCAGAAGGACCCTTGCAAGAGCTTGCAGCATTCAATAGACATCAGCACCAGCGGCTCTACTATCCTCGTCCTCCCCGGCGTCTACTCAGGACGCAACAACACGCGGCTGGACCTGCGCGACAAACAGCTGCTGGTCCGATCGCTCCTCCCCTCCGCGCACACGGAGATCTGCGACCCCAAGGCTCCTGTCATCGACTGCGAGGGCGGAGGACCCGCAGTCCTCCTCCGCAAGCACCTTGAGAGCAGGATACGGGACTCGTGCGACGAGAGTTTCGGGGATCGGAAGAAATGGAACACTTTCGATCCGTCTGCCTCCTCTACCTCCTCCTCCTCAGCGTCTTCATGCTCTCCTTCGGTCTCCGAGCTGAGAGGACTGACGTTCCTCAACTGCTCATCAGAGTAAGCTCTCTTCTCGCACCTGCCGTCTCCTCCTCGCTCTCAATTCCTTCACCCCTCACCCTCTTACCCTCTTGCTCCTGCTGGTGCTGGTGCTGCTGGTGCTGCTCTCCTCTTCCTCCTCGTACCATCTCTCCTCGTCCCTTAGTGTCCTCCCCTCCTGTTCTCCTCGTGTCGCCTCAACTGCCTGCAGGTACGGCGGAGCCCTGGTGGTCAAGCAGCCGGTGCTCGTCACCTCCTGCTGCTTTCAAGTCTGTCGGTCGCTCTACGCGGGAGGAGCCGTCATGCTGGACGCTAACGGAAGGTGAACGCTCCCTTCCCCCTCCTCTCCCCTCCCCTCCTCTCCTCTCCCCTCCCCTCCCCTCCCCTCCCCTCCTCTCCTCTCTCCTCTCTCCTCTCTCCTCTCTCCTCTCTCCTCTCTCCTCTCTCCTCTCTCCTCTCTCTTCCCCTCTCCTCTCTCCTCTCCTCTCCTCTCATCATTCCGCAGCTCATTGTTCGCCGACTGTCTCTTTCTCGATAGCTACTCGGCCAACGGAGGGGCAGCAGCGCTGAGAAAAGGAACAGCTACCTTTCAAGATTGTGAGCCTCATCCTACCCTCCTGCCCCTGCTCGTGCTCGTGCTCGTGCTCGTGCTCGTGCTCGTGCTCGTGCTCGTGCTCGTGCTCGTGCTCGTGCTCGTGCTTGTGCTCCTGCTCCTGCTCCTTTCCTCCTCTCCTATCCTCATCACCTTTCAGGTCGCTTCAGAGGCAACATGGCAGAGTTTGACGGAGGAGCGCTCTTCGTCAATGGAGGGAGTCTTCTCATCCTGCGCACAAACTTCAGCTTCAACATCGCCAACAAGGCTCGTCCCTGCTCCTGCTCCTGCTCCTGCTCCTGCTCCTGCTCCTGCTCCTGCTCCTGCTCCTACCCATGCTCGTGCTCGTGCTCCTACCCCTGGCCCTGCTGCTACTCAGCACTCGACTTCTTTCCCTTCCTCTCTTCGCCCTCCTGCTGACGAGTTGCGGCAGCTAGGAGGCGCCATCTTCGTCGGGGAGGGAGAAGCCGCGCTGACAGCGAGTCGTCTGGAGGCGAACAAGGCAGGAGGGTACGCGGGGGCCATTTACACGCAGAGAGGAAGAGTGACCAAGATAGAGACGACAGAGGAGGGAAACTCATCTCCTCTCCCTCCTGCTCGTGGAAACGGATTCGTATGATCTCCTGCTCGTGGAAACGGATTCGTATGATCTCCTGCTCGTGGAAACGGATTCGTATGATCTCCTGCTCGTGGAAACGGATTCGTATGATCTCACTGACCCTCCTCGTCCTCGTCCTCGTCCTCGTCCTCGTCCTCCGTCTTCGCTCCCCCTCCCTTTCATCTTTTCCCCCCTTCTTCGCGCCTCTTTCAGAAACTCTCGTCCTGTATCTCATCCCCAATCCGCTTTCCCCTTGTTCTCCATCTCCTCCTTGTCCCCCTTCCTCCTTCATCCACCAGTTTGTAAAGTTACTGTGTATGTACATGCTTATCAACACTCAAAAAAGAATAATCTCCCAACTCAAACACCAGCAAACATCATCATCATCATCATCATCATTTTCATCATCGTCACATCTTCACGGCATGATCTTGTTCACAAGCTTCTGGTAGTTGTCATATTGCGATGTCCGCCAGTTGTTCACCGACAGGTTGATGAGTTCTTCCACCTGCAGCTCATCAACTCACTTCTCCTCCTCACCGCCATGCGAGCAGTTTCTTCCTCCTACCTTCTTCTCGCACTCTTCATTCGACATCTCAAGGTACAACCTGAAACCACGTCAGCTCTCGAAGCGGGCAAGAAGGAAAGAAAAGGGGATTGGAGGAGGAGGAGGAGGAGGAGGAGGAGGAGGAGAAAGGTGTGAGGAGTGGAAGTAGGAGTAGGAGTAGAACAAGGTATCCAACAACCTGGCGACGAAGTTTTGGACGATTCGGTTCTTCCCTACCCTGATCAGAGCATCAGCATCAGCATCGACTTGGTCGGGGGGACCTGGAGCAGGGCAGGTTCGAGTTGAACATCATCAGCTCCATCAGAGCGGCGAGACGATGGTGAATCCGCCTCAGAGACAGGAAGGCAGCCTTGCAGTGAGACACAAACCTCTTCCAGCTCTCCGACCTACAAGTCCAGACGTCAACAGCCTCCCCTCCCCTCCCTCCTCCTCGCACGCACCCGACGCCCCCCAGCAGCTCCACGTACTCGTCCGTTAGCTTGAAGGGAGCTGTTTCAAACCCCATGTTTCCCGGGCTCAAACCTCCAACCCCATGTCAACTCCCGCACTCCTCCTGCTCCTGCTCCTCCTCCTGCTCCAGCCCCTGCCCCCAATCCTGCCCCCTCTCCTGCTCTTACTCTTGCCCCCCCTTCTGCCCCCCCTTCTGCTTCCTCTCCTGCTCCCTTACCGAGGATGTAGCCGAAGTCGATGTGGATCATGTGACCTTTGCTGTCAATGAGGATGTTCCCGTTGTGTCGATCCTTGACCTGCAGCACATGGCAAAGGATCGAGTACCCTGCCAAACTCTGCTGGAGGGTCAGCACAAGACTACCCGGGCTCTCTCCCACCTGGAGGAAGTTTGCGGTGGCTCGGCGGAAGGCCTCGCTCTCCTTCCCGTAGATTCGCTGGAAGTGAGAGGAGAGGGAGGTGAAGCCAGCCTGCTGCTTCAGCGAGTCCAGGCTGACTGCGTCCGTCAGCCCCTGGATGATCCCCGTGCCGGCAGAGGTGGCGAGGATCCTGTAAGGAAAGATCTTGACGGGGAGCTCCTCCTTCTGCCACGTGCTGGGGAGACAGAGATAGAGGATCAGAGTCAGACGAGAGCCAACGTGGGGAGGGAGAAGCGCACTTGTGTATCAGCTGAATGAGCTGCATGGCGAACGCCTCCTGCCGGACGTCGTCGAAGCTCTTAACGATGACAGTCTGGATGGAATATCCTCTCCTGCTCCCGAAGGGCGAGCTCAGGCGAATCCTCTCTTTCTTGTTCTCCCACGTCTCCTGCCATCACCGTTTCAGCGCGTACCAGAGGAAGCACAGGAAAAAGTTTCGCTACCTCCTGAAACCTGCCAGACCCTGTCATCGACATGCTCCATCCACCTCCTGACACTCCAACGTGCGAGTCCTTGGAGAGGGTGTTAGCTATCTCCCGTGACAGCTGCTTGCTCTCTTCCTGCTCCTCCTCCTTCGAGCCCAGGGCATCCCCTTCACCCTCCGACGCGTGCGCGATGTGTGCAGCTCTAGAGACCTGCGGCTGCATCCTGTCTTCGTCTTCAGCTTCTTCCAGCAGCTTGTCCGAGTTTGTTGCAGTCTCAGCCTCCTGCAGACTGTCGAAGCTGAGCAGCTTCGGGGACAGACCGTCGTCCTCCATCCTGGCGGTCGGGGAATCCATGAGGGGTTTCCGTAGCGGCGACACATTGGAAGGAGAAGCTAGGGGCCGAGGCACCAAGTTGGCACCAAGACAAGCTCCCGAAGAGATGGTCCTGATCTCGTCCATGAACCCATCCCGCACAACCGCAGCCTTGAACCCTACCTCGTTCGTGTACCTCCGCAGCCTCTGAACAGGGTCCAGATCGGGAGCTGAGCATTTCCTCAGAGTTCTGATAGTCTCCACCATGATCATGTACGGACATCTGGTCGCGGTTGTAAAGACTTTGGCTTGATCGGGGGGAATGCGCACAACCTTGTAGAAGAAGGAAGAAGAGGAGCAGAGGGGAATGTACACATCCCTGCTCTCCAAGAAGGCATTGATCCTGCCCAGCATGATGTGGAGCCGGGCAGCCCTCAGGTGCAGCGTCTCCAACCGGAGAGCTTCAGCGATGTCGGTAAGTTGTTGGATGAAGAACAGCTCAGAGTAGAAGAACGTCCCGTTCTTGGAGTTCACACCCCTGATCCAGTTGACGAGCTTGCGGCTGCCCACGTCGACATCGTCATGATCTTGCACACTCTTCAACAACTTCTTGCTGTCCTGCAGCGAGTCTGCATTGACCTGCACTATGCAAGTGAACTCTGGAGGGGACGATCCCTTGGAGCCTGCGAGGTTTGCGCTGTCGCTCATGGAGTTGAGAGGAGGCGATGAATCGGAAGCGGAGGCGCGCGAGCTCGAGCTCGAGCCCTGGAACCCGCACAGAGCCTGGGTGATGGAGGACAAGGCGTCTCCCCTGTGCTGCTCGAGGATGCTGGAGAGGTACTTGTTGGGAGAAGCGAAGCCAGGAAGCCCCTTACTCCTGGTTCGCTCGTTGATGGCAGCATACACGCACAGAATCAGGCGCGCCGGTCGACTGTCATGCTCTCCCTTCTTCGACTCACACCCTGACGCTGCTGCCACAGGCCCAACCACAGCCATGGAGTTGGTGCCGACGTAGCTGTTGCAGTCCTCAATGGCACATAGAAGCGCCCAGTGGACGTTGAGCGCAAAGTGCAGGGATCTGGTGCACATGTGAAGCACCTGCGAAGAATGAGGAGCAAGACGAGAGATCATCCTCCTACCGCAACTTCCAACGCCATGCAGGGCCTCGGAAACGCCACTAGGAGGTGGCAGATTTGCGGGAGGTACTCTTCTACGCTGGACGGGTCATGGTAGAAGAGGATCAACAAACGAGCGCAGAGGGACGGGATCCAGTCTTCATCCTCTCCCTCGCTCTAAGACACGTGGCAGCATGTCAGTCAAGAACGTCAGGCACATCAGAGACTCGCACCTGGACGAGATAGAGGAACTTGACGCATTCGAACACAACGAAAGCTTCCACCTCCTTGAGATGCTGCTGCGTAGTGGCGCATCGGTTGTCAACTAGACGAAGGTAGGTTCGAGCTCCAGCTTGCACACAGCAAGGACAAAGAATGCTTCTCAGACGTAAGGTACAACTCGTGCTCATGCTTCAAGAATCTGCTCAGACTTGTGGCTGAAGTGAAAGCCCCGCTTGACAGGATTGGTTTTCCATCATCCCTACACAAAGAATCATATCAGTTGCGAACATCCTGTGCAATCTCTGATATTCAATGGCCAAAACAAGACTCGTCACCAACATTTTCTCTTCCACTAACTTGGAACGAGAGAGGACAAGTACGGACGGACAACAGCGAAAAACGCTTCAGTTTGTGATGTGTTGGATCGAACCCCACACGATCAAGCAACCAATGTGGAGAATCAGACACAACCAGTCAGAGATGTCACAGATACGTGAGCAGATAACTTGCACGAGTTCATGCAAGTCTCTGTTCTTGCCATTCTGCTCCTGCTTCTACTTCGTGCTACCATTTCGGCTACCAGGAGGGGTGGGGTAAACATACCCCCGTATCGGTCCAACGAAGGACAGGTAGGGGTGGTAGATCTTTTTTGTAAAACACATTTATTTTTATATAGATGTATTTTGTTCTGAGCCTCTTTAAAAAATAATTTTAGTGGTCTTTTTAAAACAATTGTTTAAGGTATGAACCAACGTACCATAGAATCTATGCTGAATATTTCAAACCTTTCGACAAGATTTTCAAATAATTTTAAAGTTTTGCCACTTTCACGTATTTGAATTGTCCCCGAATCGCAGACTTTTCAAATTTTGTCGAAAGCTTGTAACGGCTTTGGAGGATTGTAACGAATTGATAGTATGTGAGGGGATGAGGGTAAGAGTGGGATGAGGGAGATGAGGGGGGTGAATATGGGTGGGTGCAAGGGGGCGTAGAACGGGTGGTGGAGAGGAGGGGGTAGGATGACTAGGAAATGGATAGGAAGTGGGGGGTGGGGGTAGAAAGGCTTTCTGGGGGAGCAAATGGTTGTGGGGTAATTGTATGAACGAGGAAGATGCAGAAGAAGGTGAAGGAGAAGAATGGAGGCGATGGCAGGGAGTAAGAGATAGAGGCAACCATGCTCAGAGCCGAGCATGTTTGAACATGTGCAATCATCAGTGACTAAGACCATTTCATGCAACAAACTGGAGAGAGTGGCGGGAGCCTTTTGCATGAGGGGGAAAGTGATAGATGTCGAGGCGAACACCCTTGACTATCGCAACCCTCTTTGAACCACAAAGAATCCTGTCCACTCGTTGGCATGATGCTTGATGGAATACGAGCCTCTCTACACTGACAAGATGTCTGTGTTCCTGACAGAAAATGACGTTTCCTGCAGCTCTGATCCCGGGGTTCTATCGAATCGACTAGCCTGCAAAATGGCTGCAGCAGGATTGAGGATGCCCATGTCCTTGTTCGGCAAGAAGGTCTTTGCCATGTCGTCTAATCGCTCTCTGATTGAGGACGTTGAATGGCAGTCTGAAAGCAGCGCTTCCAACGTAGAAAACAACGTTTGACCTAAAGTTACGAGAATCTCTGGCTGACGGTCATACCAGTCGTTTGCCTCGAATGCAAATCGAAACACAGCCGCAAAGATGCTCGAGAACTCGGTACAGAGCGAATCTATGGCATGTCTTGACATGGAGAATGATGGCGCTGTTCGCAGGAGGAGTTGTTCCGAGCCAGCTTGACGGCCAAGAACGAGGTAACCGAAGCAGGAGATCTGATAAAGATTGTTACCAAACATCTGCTCACATGCTGACCCTTGTTGTCTCAGGAAATCAGCAAGATTACAGATGTTCTGTTCACGGTGCGGCACTCCTTTTCGGGGTCTCGTTTCTTACAGTCGTCGCAGGTTCGAAAGGAGCTAGGAAGGGAGGTAGCCCATGTTCAAACTCTGAATGCCCAGGTCAGTCTCTTGCTCTCTACCATGCCGAAAGCTGTCTGTGACTTGTCGCAATGGTGTACAGCTCGCTGCCGCACAGAACGAGCTGCAGGAGAAGGAAGTCTCGCTACAAAACGTGCGGTGGCCGAGGAATGCGGTCAGTGCTGAACAAGCTTGTGTGCAGGCTAACAACAGGATCCGCGAGCTCGAGAGTCAGATTGAAGGTGGAGCAATGAGCGTATGTTGAGCTGTTTCATGATCGTTGTCAGACATGCAAGGGACGTACAACAAGGTCATTATGGGGGAAGGGCAGGTCAGACTTATTTCTCCTGGTTCTCGCTCCTTACCCTCTCTGACTCCGCTCGCTTGCATTCAGCGACCTGCCGATGAAGCGAAGGAAGACGATACGAGTACGACGCAAGAAGAGCTACATGCGGAGCTTGTCCAGTCTCTCAGAGAAAGAGCCGTGAAGTCAGAGCGGGAGGTTGGCTTTTTCTGTTTCAACGATGTTGATTATCTCATCATTTGAATGCCGCAGGTGGCAGTGTTGCAGAGCACTGTGGCAGCGCTGCGAAACGTTCGTCCTCCTCCTCCTCCTCCTCCTCCTCTCCTCGTCTGAGACCTGTTCTCCTGTCAGGCCTTGCTCGTTCAGCTCGAGGAAGTGGCACGGAAATCTCAAGTGAGATCAGCAGCAGCTTTCACATCCCTCCTGGTCATAGATGCTGACGCCGCAACCGCAGGACGATACGAAGCAGGAGCAGCCGTCGATGACTGAGGTATCCATGCGCTGCTCTCAGCGATCGCTCCCTCTGACGTCCTCTCGCTGCAGGCAAAGATCTGGGAGGAAGCGGCGATGGAAAGCGAGCGGAAGGTCAAGGAGCTAGCTCTGGAGGTGCTGGCTGTGGTCGCTGACACTAAAAGAGCCTGACTCGTCTCTCTGCTTGTCTGCAGATCGAAGGTAAGGACCTGGTAATTGCCGAGCTGCGAAGACGTCTGGACGAGTCCAGCAAGAAGTCCAGCTGAGGTGATCTTCACCCCAGCCGATGGTGACCTGGGGTAGTTTGGGACTTGTGCCGGTAAAGGCTGTCGGCACGATCAAAGCGGCCGCAAACGTGCCTAGCGCTGCAGGTTTGACAAGCGAGGAATCTGAAGTATCTTTTTTGTAAGTGAAATCAAAAGCCGCTGATTGTATTTAAGACTACATCTGTGGCACGCGAATCAATCCTGAAGCAACGAATACTGCGAACCTCTCCTCTCCTCTCCTCTCCTCCCCTCCCCTCCCCTCCTCTCCTCTCCTCTCCTCTTTTCACATCGCACAGGTTGTCACATCTTATGTATGAACATGTGACAGCACACGAGTTGAAAGTCGTTGAAACTTCTCACCTCTGGCTAGTTCCTTCCGGTGCTGTACAGAATATCTGGCGAAAAATTTGAATCTGATGGGGTGGGGTACCAGATACAGGTGGGGTAGTTATATTGGTAAGTGAACGGGTGCACGGCTCTTGACTAGGGGTATAAGAGAAGGGGAAAATGGGGGTGTCAGTAAAGGGGGTGAATTCTATGGGGTGGTGTAGGGATTGGCGGGAAGAAGCGAAGCCCGTCATGCTGGAGGACAGGCGAAGATTAGTAGCGGCGAAGGAAGAGAAGGGAGAGAGGGAGAGAGAGGGAGAGAGATAGGAGAGGAGTTGAAAGAGAGGAGAGTGAGGAGTTCGATAGAGCAGTGAGTGAGAAGATGGACTGATAGAGCGAAAGGATCGAGAGATTGGATCAGATTGATAGAGGGGAATGCAGGAGAAAGTAGGAGCAGGTCTGGGTAATGGCCGAATTTTAGCTGTTTCAATTGTGACGATACATTCAAGAGGATGTTGTACTATCAGAGCTGGGTGATTTCCAACAAGAACAGTTGGAAATGAGCTCAACTCTGCGATGCTGAGTGTTGTACCATTACTTTTCATGCTACATCAAGATGCGGAGAGAATAGGGATTGACTGTTGATCAGCACCCCTACATCGTTGCATCTTCCTTTCATCCTCGTGCCCAAGTGAAGGGGGGGTGGGTGGGGGGAGGGATAGCAGAGGCAGTGAACGATCGAGAGGATTGAGAGTGTTTCAGAGGCGGGGCAAAGAGAAACTTTCAAACAGCTCAAGCTTGCAGTATCTTGTTGTAAGTTCTGTGGCTGATCCATTGGTGCAGCTTGAAAAATGACGGCGACAGAAGACAAGACGGAGTCAGAGCCCAAGGCTCAAGACACTTCCAAGGTCGAAGAGAAAGAAGAGACCAAGGTGGTCCTAACATTGTGCTACGTGCGATCCTGACGTATGGTCAGGAGATCGAGAAGAAGGAAGAAGAACCGACTGTGATCGCAGCTTGCTTCCTTGCGGCTGTTCTTGACGTGTGTTGAAACAGAAAGAGGAGAAAAGGAGGATTCCGAGAACCATTCCAACGAGGACAAGGTAAGGGAATCCCACGGCTGGGCCTGCTGTAAACGATGGCAAAGGATGCCGGCAAAGGATCGACGTCCAATCCTAACACTCCTTCCAAGCGCGGAAGGAAGCCAAAGAAGGTCTTGAAGCACATGGCCGAGATGAGGGTCACGAGCTTGTCCTCAGGAAGCAGAGCAGGAGGAACCAGAGGCGACCCCCACCAAAAGAGGAAGGACTGCAAAGAATGTGCTGGGCAACGACGACAAGTGTGCGACACATCTAACTGACGAGCAGGCCAAGAAAGAGGAGGAGGAGGAGGAGGAGGAGGAATCCAAGAAGGCGGGAGCTTATTGGGAAGTGGAAGCTGGAGCCAAGAGGTGACAAGGTTTGTTTCCTGTCTCGACCTGACCGCCTGTGCAGGCAGCGCAAGTCGTCGGAGCACTTTCACCCTGACACGAGCTCCAAGGACAAGGAAGAGATCGTCATCCCCCAGGTGATACCAGCTGAGGCCCTTGGGATGTTTGACGAGCAGCCATAGGGAGACGGAAAGCGGCTGGGGGACATCCAGTCAGGTCGGGGATGATGGATGAGACGGGGATGTTAAGTCACGATGCTGTCCAGTCGTCAACAGCCTGACCAACCACACGGTGAAGAAGAGCGACATAAACGATCCCATCAAAGTCCTTCACAAGATGCTGTTCCGTCGTGTCGATCAGGTTGACTCGCCGACAAGTCTTGACGGGTTGGACTGACTTGCCCTGCAGCCCAAGGCGATGAAACAGAACCTGATGGAGTTCAGAGGGATGAGCTTCGAGGACAAGGTGATTGGGGTCCTCCCTCCCTCCCTC